CAATCATTGGATTGTTTGGTCCAGACTCGATTATTTATAGACCGCCGTCATATAGCTGGACTATCGCTGAGTGCGGCGTTAAACAACCAACAAACAAAACAGTATCTGCCATTATCTGTCAAAACAGATTCAATTGGGCCTAAAGGGTGGGTGTCGAAGTGATAAATGCGAACATGACTTTAAATGAAATGTTTTGATAGCAGATTATTCGCATTTATAATTATAAAACCCTTAACTAAATGTCGATAGCTGTATGAAACTATTGATATTTAATTGAGTGAGTGAGTCATATCGCGGCGTGTCAGCTTAATGTGGGAGGAAAGCCCGAAGTGATGCAGGTCTCAGACGTTTATCACTTCGGTGAAACCCACGAGCACGGGTATGGTGCTGACAAACCTAGAAACATAATCAGGGTGAACCGGGATTTGAACCCACAATCATAGGTTTCTGGCGTGTCCACGGGACGCAACTCTGCACAGCGAATCGCGGCGCCTTAGACGACTGGGCCACCCGTGCCCCCGTTGATATATAAAGGTACATACGAGGAGGAAAACACTTTTCTGCATGTTTTAATCGGCATTGTCAGCTGTTTATAAAAAAAACCCGACAGAATTTCGAATATGCTTTAATGGCTGAGGCTTAGCTGTACGCGTGCTTGAAACTTCGTATGAAGCTTGTCTCGAATACCGGATAACTCGATATATTTCAAAAGACCCCGTGAGTTCGAGTAAACAAATCGTATTGTAGAAGAACATGATCGCCGCGAGGTTTAGAATGTGGCACGAATAAACCTAAATACGACAAGAACATTAAGAACATGACAAGCAGATCGATGAAAATGACAAGAATGTAGCAGAGTATGAAAAGAACACATATGACATAACAAGAGTACCGATGATCGTGACCGAGCACTGATGGCCGTGACAGGAACATCGACGAACATGACAAGAACATCCATAAATATGGCAAGAACATCGATAAACATGGCAAGAAGACAATAAACATGACATGAACACAGATAACTGCGACAGGAACACCGACAAACGTGACAAGAACATCGATGAACATCGCAAGGACACAGATGACCGTGACAAGAACATAGATGACAGTGAAAGGAACCATTGTAAGACCATTGTAAGAGCACAAATGACCGTGACAAAAACAGAAACACGAAAAGAACATCGTCGAACATGACAGGAAGACCAATGAACATGACAATGGCATTAATGAAAGCAATTTCCATTGGTTACATGAGCGTTGTTTACAAATAAACAAAACCATTCCATGATTATTATTCCATAACAATCTGCTCAAGCCAGAGTTGATTATTCGATTACGACTGTATCATAAACATGTGTGTAGGAATCACGATCAGTTTGTGAACCAAACATCCCACAATGTAATTAAGTTACTGCGGGGGAACATGGAACAGGAAATGAATGAAATATGAATCCACGGAGGACCTCTCCGTCTAGGGTATACACAAAGAGGTCAAATATGCAAACGGAAACCCACAGAGCTCTCTTTGTACTTGATTTATATCCCCTCCCACACAGAATCAATACCTGTATTATATATGCAATTACAGGCATGACTAGGAACAGTTCTCACAGGTGGTTAGTTTTCTTCAGTTCGGGATCTCAGCTTGCGCTATTCGTGATTCCCAACAGTATACGCCATGCAAATGATGCTTCACATCTCCGCATCTTCACCATGGAAGAGTGCAAGAGTACCTGTCCGCCAATCCATCTGCAGTAAACTGTTCTTAATGGCAATAGAAATAGATCTGAGCCTGACTAGTCAAGGCAGACCGATGCTGATGTTCGCCTTGCCTTTTGTATGAATATTAGCGTCATGATCAGCATCGGTGTTGCGTGTTTTTTCGGGAATTGGCACAGCTTTTGTTTGTGTGTTGAGTAACGCCTCTTATCATGTCGTAGGATCCGCTGGTTTATAATTGGCGCCTCAGACTGACACTGATTATGATTCTTGGTGTGTCGACACAATAGTCGTGTTACGTGGGTTGAATAATGTCGTAAACATCTAAGCATGTTCACGTGAACCTATATTGTTTTAAGGGAACTGCTGTTTTATAAAGGGGCCTGAAGTTAGCAACGGGTTCGTTACTCGTTATTCTTTTTTCGAATAACGAAAAACAAGCCAGCACCGGGTTCGTTATTCACCGGCTGTGTATCAAACAACCACAGCAATTTTGTGAAATATACTGAAACTCATTTAATATTTGACAGCAGGTTCGCCTCACATAGTCCAAAAGCTGTTTAGTTATTCAGTACTTTTGAATAAAGAAAAACAAGCCAGCACCTGGTTCGTTATTCAGACTTGGTATAACAATTCTATTAAATACATGATAGTCTATAGTCTATCTCCCAACAACTGTTAAGCTATTCAGTACTTTTGAATAACGAAAAACAACGATGTCATATATTAAATGAGTTTCAGCGTATTTGACCACATTACTGTGTTGTTTAACATACAGCCTTTGACTAACGAACCCGCTGCTAACTTCAGGGCCCTGTTTTATAATGTGTATTGTATTCAAACCTATCGATTTCTTATCATATGCGTTTATTTTATTTCCATGTTCTGTTATGTTCTTGACATGGATATTGAAGTCCGACTCTGTTTGCTTTGGTGTTGTAGTAACGTGCATTAATGCTCTTGTCATGTGCATAGATGCTCATTGCATGTGAATTGATATTCAAAGCAGGTGCATTGATGTGCTTGTCTTCATCGATGTTTTTGTCATGTGCATTGATGTCTCTGTTGTGTTCATTGATGTTCCGGTCACGTTCATTGATGTTCCTGTCATGTGTCTTGATGTGTTCTTGGCAATTACATCGGTGTTTCAATTTGCATGTCCTCCCAAAACGATGCCACGCGAAGGGCTTTGCAATGCGCAAGTTGTCCATGTATGGAGGAGTGAGTTTTGACCTCTCCCATTGGAACAGTATTCGGGTAAGTCACAGCGTGTCAGTTTGATGTTGGAGGAAAGCCCGAAGTGATGCAGGTCCTAGACATCAACTGCTTCGGAGAAATCCACGACAGCGGGTATGGTGGTGACAAACATATAAATATTATCAATGGAAACAGTGGATTCGAACTCATGATCACTTGCTTCTGACGTACTTAAGGGATGAAACTCTCCAAAGCGACATGCGGCGACCGGAACCACAAGGATATCTGTACCCACCAGTACAGCGTCTCCTTTTGAGTGAGTGAGTGAGTTGGGTTTAACATTATTCCAGTTATATCATGGCGTGCCAGCTTATTGTGGGAGGAAAGGCCGAAGTGATGCAGGTCTCAGACGTTTACCCCTTCGGTGAAACCCACGAACACGGGTATGGTGCTGACAAACCTAGAAACATAATCGGGGTGAACCAGGATTCGAACCCACAATCATAGGTTTCTGTCGTGCCCAAGGGATGCAACTCTGCACAGCGAATCGCGGCGCCTTAGACCACTTGGCCACACGTGCCCCCGTCTCCTTTTGTCGTCTATAGCAAGTATTCTACTCATGAAAGCATAAAAGCGTAGTAAAACGGGAATTGGATGGTCCAGTTCTATGACTTACGTGCTTGCGTGTCATCGGACCCCGACGGGTACAAACATCGCTCATACATTCGCTCACTGGTTTGTCTGGGCCAGATTCGAATATATGATTTACATCCCTCTGTAATTTTGCTCACCAGTTCACCTACTTTGGCCTCCTTCCACAAAGTGATCTTGGCGCTATGACTATCTTAATTCCTCTACATGGTCATTAACACTGACTTAGTATCGTCGTAGGGCTACGGAGCTCAAGTGCCCTTCTGATATCCTTGAAGTCCGAAGAGTGTGGTGACTAGGAGTTATTATAATGAAATCAGGTTGTTCGGGGGAAGTCCGACTTATCGACATGTCCCATGTTGGCCCACAATGAGTGATGTCACCATTCGGTGAGGTAAGGTGAAATGGGGTTTAATGTCGCGTGAAGATTATTGCACGTATAAAGCGACGAGCACGCACGTGTACGTGTGTGGCTGCTAGTACAAGCTAGTCCGGACTAATTCCCACCCCACCGAGATACCATGACGCAGTTTAGCATTAAAACCCCACTCAGACACAGTATACTGACTCCGAGTGTACCAGTTTTGTATTATCCCCCTTAGTCTGAGCGCCAGGCAGGGTAACAACAAGTACCATATTTTCAAGTATTTTGGAATAACGCGACCAGGGATCGAACCTGGATCTTCCACTCACAGGTCAGATGCTCTACCACAAGAACACGGAGGCGGTCGTCACCATCGGTTTTCCATTCATACGCTCAAACACGAAACAGTAGGTCAGACACTTATTTAGCATCAATACCCTCCGCAGTTGTATTGTTGTAAAAAGTTTTAAAACACTTTCAAACGGATATTGGCAACGTTAGCTCGGGTTTCAAGTGTGTTAATTAGTTGCTAGGGAAAACGTCGTGTATTCGATCGATTTACAATACCCATTGTGCTTTTTCCAACAAATCCATTAAAATATCCAAATTGTTTAATCTCACTTCCATGACAATTTCTCTTCGCCCAAGATGCACTGGCAAGATAATTCTCCAAGTCAAAGCTCAAAATCAATCAATTTCCATCATCTTTTGATGAGAACTATTTTGTTGTAAAGGATCCAAAAAAGACGGCATTGAAAGACGTGCGCTGCCTTTAAGTTCTTCAATTAGAAGCCGTAACAACAAAACAGTTATATTATCAGCACTACGCCTCTGTAACATTTGTTATTCCTTATGAATTCTGCTGGGTTTTTTTCATCTGGAAATAAACAAGCACGCATGTCTTATTGGTGAGTCTTCCTTTTCATCTGTATCTCAGCATGAGCGTCGCGTGTGAGCATGTATATGTTCATTAAATGTTCGTATGACATTCAACTAGCAAAATATCATCAGAACAAAATAATCGTCCGCGTTTAATTAAACATAATCAAACGTATATGTAAAAACTCACCTCTATTTTTCTTTTTACAAAGTGTGAACCCGCGCATAGTATTTTTAAGGAAACCTGCAAGACAAAAAAGATAATTAAGACGAAGTAACATGATTATTGGGGGCAGATGGGGCAGGAAACACTCACCTTTTCACTATTTGATAATGGGATTCTTAAACACGTGCGTATGACATAGTCGCACAATGGACTTTTAGCAGAGATGAGTTGTTCTCTCCCAACAGACTCTCTAACCACTAAGACCACAGTGGCGGTCTTACCAGATATTACATTGTATTGTTTGTTGTATGTTGTCGAGACACTGATATGAATCATGAATCATGTATAGAATCCGGGCAGAATGTATGTAGGTCCCCAGTTCATGATAATTAAAATATCTAGAGATGACCAAAGATTTGGGTTCGTTTGTTTGTTGTTTAACGCCGCACTCAGCAACATTCCAGCTATATGACAGCGGTCTGTAAATAATCGAGTCTGGGCCAGACAATCCAGTGACTGATAACATGAGCATCAATCCACACCACTGGGATACGATTACATGCACCAACCAAGTCAGCGAGCCTGACCACCCAATCCCAAGCATAGACGCCACTTTGGATATATCGAACTGCAGGTTACGTTCCGTAGCACTTCGTCACATCCGGAGTTGATGTACAAGTCAATTGTTCTTATTGATCACTCCTACTTTAACATGACACGTCTAGAATATTAAATATATTTAAAAATAGACACGTCACAACATCATCATCATCATCACATTATCATCACATATAATTATTTCTCATGCATGCAGTTAAATATCACCACATCAGTTACTGTGTGATCTATAAGTGTACTTGTATCTTCAAAGTATGTATCCTGTAGCCTCCAAGCCAGTGGCATTCGGTGCCATGGGATGGCAATTCAAGCACCAATTGATTGGGCAGGGTCTTTATCCCACAGTATTGATTTATGTGGCGTTATCAAGAGTTGAAACGGAAATGTCGACCTTTAAGAACCAGATACCCAGGAAGTCCTTGGAGAACATTCAAGATGAAGTTCCGATACGGAAGTAAACTATGACGACACTGGGCTTTATGTATATTTTATAAAGGCACAAGAGTGTAGAAAAATTAGACTTAGCTGATCGCAGTCGCTGATAAAAACAAGGGAGTAGAAAGTTTTTGATGTCTCAAAGTAGAATATTCTTGAAATGTATTCTTCTGTCCACATGTACCTTTCATTGATGTTCAACGTAAATACTGAGATTTGATGGCATTACTATACACTGTCTGTGAACAACAGCACTTTACTCACACTAAAATCCCTATACTACACATCAGGGCTGAACGACTCAGTGTAATACATTTCCAATTTTTTCACATGCGCGTTATAGCTATACCTCAAGCTGAAGGGTAAGATGAAGCAAAGTCGCATCAGTCTGTTGCTGTGACGAGAACACTACCACGTGACGTTCCGTTGTTCATGACGTTCGACGCTCATCATGTAGCTGACTTCCTAGGGATGAGTTTTTATATACAATTTTCTGTGTTTCTTTTTTTATTAATACAAAAGGTAATATGTAGAATACTTATACACCAAATGATCTAATATAGGAGAATCGTGTTAAACTTCGAGTTCCATTATGTCTGTATTTCCAGACTGACTAGTCTAACACCTTCAGAGCAAGTCCGCAATATTTTAGCAAATGAATATTTCTTCGTTCTAAAAATTAAAGAGATGCTCTGGGCTCTTTTATGTCATTGATATAAACTTAAATAAACAAAACATATTACCATTTCAGGTGTAATCGTAATGTAAATGTTACAACTTGACATTATTAATCCGTATTTATGATTAATTCATCCGGACGACTACACTGGGAAAGTTCTTTTAACAGTATTTCACCGTATCAATCCTTCGAGAGTGATGCAGGAAAACACTCATGCCATCTCGGGTTTTCACCCATTAGTTCGCGAAAGATATTTCGAGCATACTGTTGGCTATTATTTATGTATAATATAGTTGTGAGGTGAGTAGCTTCGTCGCAAGTCATGATGCACAAGCTGGAAGAGTGCGGAGAGGTTCAACGGAAACAAATTTCCAAAGAACATATTAAAGAAATAAGGAAATGGCAAGACATCATTTTTATATGACGTCAATACATCCAAAAACCGCCAATCAATATGTTTCGTACATGGTCGTTAACCAGAGCGCCAAAACGAATGAGGAAGCATTGCAACATGGTATCAAAGGTCTGGAAAAACGTCTATTACACATAACATATGTTACCTTGTCATACACGAACGTCGTGGTGAGATATATTATTTAGATAACATTACTTGCGATCACGAGGCACAACGCAGTCAGGAGGTTTCTTCATTACCATCAATTTCATGGAAATAGCAAGGATCCAGTTAGACCCAGAACCTCTCTTTTCTCGTTACTGTTACCGTTATACATATATATTAATATTTGATGTATCGATGATCTGATGTGAAGTAATGGCCAACTAACCAATTCTCTTCCACTAATTTTCCACCACCCAACTGAGCTAGAAATAAAGGAGACCAGTGAACTGTTTAATATCTAACTCTATTCTGAAAGATTCAGAGCGAAATAGATTCAGATTCAATTTAAAAAAGGGATGACTTCAACTTTCCTTTTATGTCGAGCAATATTCCAACAAATTAATCCAGCCTTTGGTGTCAACATTTCACGTTTTCACGTTTGAGGTACAACCGAACATTTTCCACGAAGAGTTTATCTTGTCGGCAGTGTCGGCACTGATAGATCTTACAATATTATGCAAATAATAAATTTAACTGAAGGTCAAGCTCAAGGTCAGAAAGCCTTGTTCCTCCGTGACATGTCTCCTCTTTCTGGTCGTTGTAAATCAGATTACACGGGACACAAGTGAAGGTAAATATTGATGTGATCATGTAAGACTGAGAAACCGTCTGTCAGATGGCGACGCTAGATTACAGGCGAAATCAGCCGATCACCAAAAAAGTGCGGCGAAATCAAATTTCCGTCCTTGGGTAATCTGGTATCTATTGAAAAATTCTTCCCGAGGCGGATTGGTGCACACTGACATGAATAGCTAAGTATCACTTGTCATTATCTTCTAACTTCGTGGAAGACTTCCATTCTAGGATATATATGCTGAATAAAAGAAGTTAGGGATCATGATTTTTTTATTTTTTTTTATTTTTTAAGCAAAGACTGAGCACACACTTTCAAAACAAAAAATACCCAAAAGGATTCATGATCCCTAACATATTGCTTCGATTATGTGTATATATTGATTATCCATTTTGGTTATTTATGAGAAATGCGTTTCCTGAATCGCTGAAAATCAGTGATGACACCAGGTGTTCGCAAAAAAGGTAAGCCAGCCCTGTCCTACCTGTAAGCACCCTTCATTCATACAAACAGCATACAGAAAAAAGTTTTTGTTTGTCACCTGACGCCGCACAGTAGTAGTGACAGGTACTGTCATAATGGACAGCTGCGATTTTGTATCGAGATTAGATGTTTTTTAGCTACAGCTACAAAACGAGATGAGTTTTTAAGACAATGTGCCTGAAGTTTGTTTAAGAAAACCACCTTGCAACGATGTAATATTTGCAGCATGCAATTTCTTTTTTCCAACAGTCTGAAGCATAATTATTATTATTTTAAATTTGCAGGGCCAATTTATTGAGGGCCAAATGACATCACTACGCCCCAAGAATATCAAATGGTCAGTCTCTTACCAGTTTTGTGAAACCTATGAGGAATTTTAAGGTATGGTGTTGACAAACCAAGAAACACAATCAGCGCCAATTCGTGATTCGAATCCATGATCAACGGTTTAGACTCGTGAAAAGCTATGGTAAATGGATCCTAAAAGAGACATGGTCGCGTTGTTGCATTGTGACATTGGCCCTTCTATGATTCCATAATGACTGGTATGATCAAGATGTTTCGTTTGCAAAACTTAGGGAATTTAGGCTGCATCCCACTGGCAACCAAAACGTGCAGACAAATCACCTTATTCTTCTGACAATTGTCAATTTGGAGTCAAACTAGTACTCGTTTCCAGCGTCACAGCTACATACAGGCCGTGAAACGGGCAGAGCACGGAGACTTGTAATTGCCTCTGCAAAGTAGATCAGCTCAACAACGTTAACAGGCCTCAATTCATGGAGCGGGGTTAAACTAATCACAATGCGATTGTCGCCTCGCTTATCTGCCCTTGACTATACATTCAAATCACGTCGTGACTTCAATTCTGTCCGAATGACATCCGCCAAGACTCTTTATTGCCGCTAGGAGGCGCTCGTTGTTGTCTCGTCAGCCATTGTACTGGTCGTATCGCCCTGCTTTGCTTAAAAGATCGAGCAATCGATCTAAAATGCGAGCAGTCAGGCTAAAAATTGAATGGGTCAGTATAGGGCATCCTGGATAGATTTCCCTTTGGCTTAGGCTGCACGAGACAGTTTCAAGATGAGATGATCACCACCAGCTGTCGAACAACTCGACAACCGTTATGAATATGAACTTACGACGAGATATTTGTCTCCAACTCAACAACCGTTATGAATATGAACCTTCTGACGACGTATTTGTCTCCAGCTCAACAACCGTTATGAATATGAACCTTCTGACGATATATTTGTCTCCAGCTTAACAGCTTTTATGAATATAAACATTCTGACGACCTATATTTGTCTCCAGCTTAACAGCTTTTATGAATATAAACATTCTGACGATATGATCTGTCGCTCCATTTATACAACCATTTTGAATATGAACCTTCTGACGACAAATTTGTCTCCAGCTTAACAGCTTCTATGAATATAAACATCCTGACGATATGTCTGTCGCTCCAATTATACAACCATTATGAATATGAACCTTCTGACGACAAATTTGTCTCCAGCTTAACAGCTTCTATGAATATAAACATACTGACGATATGTCTGTCGCTCCAATTATACAACCATTATGAATATGAACCTTCTGACGACATATTTGTCTCAAACTCAACAACCGTTATAAATAGTAACCTTCTGACGACATATTTGTCTTGA